CATGGCGTTGACGAACTAGCAGAAAAAGAGGGGAGATTCAATTTGGAGAAATATGTCGTATTAGAAGTGTTTCTCCTGTCAGTACGTAGCTATGCCTTGCCTTTACCAGAAACGATCGTATTCATGCAGAACTGCCCAATACATACGTCGAGGGCAGATATGAGATGGTTTCGTGACCAAAACCATCTCGAGGTCCTTCCATGGCCAAGCAAGAAATGTGACTTAACCCAGTCGAAAACGTCTGGGCAAATATAGTCAATGTGTGGGAAACGGCAAATGAAAGAACGTCGCAAAAGAACATGCAAAGAGGGAATGGGAAGTACTACGTAGGAAGCCGGAACGATGCCAGATGTACAGAAGTGAGACCCAGCATGTGTACTGAAATATGATTCTGCGAGTTTCATGTATATACATATATTTGTATATTTACCTTGTGTGTATGCATATATATGTATAAAAAAAAAAAAAAAAAAAAAAAAAAAAAAAAATATATATATATATATATATATATATATATATATATATATATATATATACATACATATTCAGTGTATATGTATATACTTGTATATATATGTATATATATATAATGTATATATATATACATATAGCGATATATATGAACATATATACAGTATATATATATATACAGTATATATATTAAATATATATATTTGATATATATATATATATATATGTATTTATGTATACAAAATATATAGAATAAACATATATATATACATACACAGTACATATACATATATATAAATAGACAGTACACATACATATATATATACATATACATGAGTGTATATATATATTAAAAAGGAAAACAGTAACAGTAAGAAATGAATATGAATCGTAACGTTTCGATCTCTTTACGAGTTCCTCTTCAGACGAAGCGTTTTCTTTAATGTAAAGGATATGGTCTCGCCAGGACAGTTTGGAGTCAAAAATAACACCTCGGAATTTGCCAGAGTATCAGTGTTGGAGTAGAGTGCTATATAAGAGTGGAGGTATGGGACCTACACGTGTGCGAGAGAAAAGGATGAAGAAGTATTTGGAGGTAGAAAAGCAGAAGCCATGGTTTGTGGCCCAAGAAGATACTGATGATATTACAGACTGAAGAAATTCGCAGAGATTTTGCATGGATGTGCCAGAGGCATTGATGGTTAAATCAACATGAGTGATGACCGGGCTTCTGGTGGTAGAACTGAGACAATGTCATTAACAGCAAGAAGTAATAAAGTGGTTCTGAGCACACTGCCTTGTAGGACGCCTTCGATCTGAGGAAAGAAAGATGATGTGGCAGAGGCAATTTTGACCTGGAAAATGCGTTGGGAGAGGAAAGACTTTATGAAGACACCCATGTCTCCATGTATGCCTAGAGGTGGAGCTGGAGTCGGGGGGGATGGGCTGTGTTGGGAGGGGGTAGGACAGGGTGTAGGGGGGATATGAGTAGGATGAATATCGGCAGTCACTTTGAGTGTGGAGGGAGCGGGAGTTGTGGAATCTGAAGGTGGATTCAGTGTCAGTTTGGGACTCGAGTAGATAGCTCTGAATATCTTCAAGAGTTTCTGTCATAGAGTTGGTTGGGGAGTTTTGTGAGACAAAGGTTTTCTTGTGAGAGGGGGAAAAGACTGAAGCATAGGGGGAAAGGAAGATGGAGGTGATTGTGTGGTAGGGGAAGAGGGGGTGGAACGTTTAGTCTGCTGTGGGTTGTGGGGGGAGAGGGGAAGGTGTTGGGGCTCTAGAGATTGGAGTGTCTGGTTTTAGGATGGCAAATGAATTTGACTGGGGAAGGTAGGAGGTAGAAGAGAGGAGGTTAGATGGAAGAGGGATAGGTTTAGGGGAGAGTGGAGCGTTGGGAGGTAGGGGGAGTGGCAGAGCGACATTATTGGAGTAGGGAGTAAGAGAAAAACCTTGTCGATATGCTTCCCGTCTGGTTTCACGTAGAGTTCAAATCTGAATCTGAGTTTCTACCTCAGACTCAAATTTGGGAGCCGCCACAGTTGGCACATGTGCATGATTGTGCAGAGCAGTTTGATCAAGTATAGCCAGGTTGGGTACATAATGGGCATCTGGTTGTGGAATGGCAATGTTTGGCAGGATGTCCGAAACACCAACAATATTGGCACTGACGAGGTTGACGAGGTCAGACAGGGAGGGATTCTCCACCGATGTAAACATTAAAGGGAAGGTCATGCCTACAGAAACTAATTTTGGCAATGTTAATGGGGTTCTTACAATGACCTTTGGGAGGAATGGAGTAGCATTGTACTGATATCGCATCATAGTCCATGAGACAGGCAAGTAAATCTTTACAATCAAATTTTGTTATAGATAGGGCAATTTGCTGGGGAGTTTCGGTGGGATGGGGTTCTACAGGGATGGTGTTACCATATAAATCAGTTATATTTGATGCTATAGCTTAGTTTTCAAATGTTACTGTGACGAAACGGGAACGGTCGGGTTGGCTACGGAAAGACTTTGCCTACTTGTTTTTGGAGTCGTTGCTGGAAGAGAAGGGTGTTGTCAGAGTAGGGAGCTGTGGGAAGGATCACGAAAAATCGGTCTCATTTGGCTGGGAGAGAGCATTTAAGATTTTTGTAGAGATGGGGATAGTAGGACAGGGGTGTGTGGAAGAGGGAATAGTGTTGAGGGACATATGCTATGGAGAGGTGGACTATGAGGCTGTAAGGTAGTAAGGGAGGATGGGGTAGTTAATGAAGGTTGTGAGGGTAGAGCTGAAGTTGAGCATGTTGGGAGAGTAGAAATGTCTTCTGGGGGTTGATTGTTGACTATACTAGTAGGGTTTGAGGGGGTAGTTGTAGTGTTCGGAGCCGTAGTCAAAGGAGAGCCTGGAGTCAGGGAATCGGGGGAGTTTGAATTAATGGGGCTATTTAATGAAGGGGCAAGCTTCATTGCAACTTGAAAATGGTATAACATCTTCATTGTTGATCATGTCAAACCTGGAGTGTTGGGGAGAGCAGTCCACCCCTCAGGGTCCCCTTGAGGGATAAGGGCTAGGCAACTAAAGCAGGGGAATACCGTGCCTATGGCTCCATCAGCCCGTTCAGGACTGGCACAAAGTCGGCCTTTCATCCTTTCAGCACGGCTCTCACACCATAGGAAGTGGATAGAAGGGGGTTGAAGTGACAAACGAGAAAGGAGGGGAAAAAAGACCATGCAAAATTAGTTGAGTTGACGGCTGAGTCCCAAGGTTGGGGAGTTCCCAAAATTGGGTCCCAGTCTCCGAGGCGGAGACCCAACCACACCCAACCAGCTAAGCCTCCACGACAACGGGAAAAGGATTGGGGGGGGGGGGGTATACATGTTTGAAATATTTGTGTAAATACATTTATATGTATGCATGCATATTTGTTATATGTGTAATATTAATCTATATGTATATACTCATCCTTATATATACATGTATATTTTCATATATGCATATATAAACATATTTATAAGAGATTATTTGGTGTCTATTTCGGTTTATTATTTGTCTGAAGAGGAACTCGCAAAGAGTTCGAAACGTTACGATTCATATTCAACTCTTACTGTGGCTGTTTTCGTTTTCATCTTCGTGCACACATTGTCACACAATTATATATACACATTTGTGTAAACTATATATTTATATACAAATATTTATATGTACATTTCACGTACATGTGAACATTGTGTATATATATACATTTACATGTATATATATATATTTATTGAACCACCATTCATTAGACTGTTGGATCTAGAAATATTCAAATGTATTGTTAAGACGTAATTTGGCAATACAACCCCTCCCTGATTAAATGCCCTTCCTAATCAACTACGCAATCACTTATACCACATATACTATATTTATGTGTATGTTTATATATACATATATACGTATGTAAACGGGTATACGCAGACATACATATACATGTATACATTGTTATATACATTTATGTGGCTGGGTTGGTGGTTGGGTGGCTAGATGGGTGATTGGGTGAGGCTTGGTGGGTAGTTGGGTGAGGCTGGGTGGGTGGTTGGGTGAGGGTGGGTGGTTGGGTGTGGCTGGTTAGGTGTGGCCGGGTGGCTAGTTAGGTGTGGCCGGGTGGCTGGTTGGGTGTGGCTGGGTGACTGGATGGGTGGGTGGTTGGGTATGTATATACTCATTGGGTGGTTGGGTGTGGGTGGCTAGGTGGGTGGTTGGGTATGTATATACTCATTGGGTGGTTGGGTGTGGGTGGCTAGGTGGGTGGTTGGGCGGTTGGGTGAGTGAGGATGGGGGTGGGTGGCTAGGCATGGCTGGGTGGGGGTAAGGTGATTAGGTGTGGCTGGGTGGGTGTGGCTGGGTGTGTGAGGGTGGGTGTGGCTGGGTGTGTGGGGGTGGGTGGTTGTGTGGCAGGGTGACTGGTTGGGCATGGCTGGGTGGTTGGGCGTGGCTAGGTAGCTGGTTGTGTGGGTGGGTGGGTGTTTGGGGATGGGTGGGCATGGCTGGGTGGCTGAATGAGTGGTTAGATGTGGCTAGGTGGGTAGTTGGTGTGGGTGTGCGTGGGTGGGTGGGGGAGGGTGGTTGGGTGTGACTGGGTGGCTTGGTGGGTAGTTAGGTGTGGGTAAGTGGTTCAGTGGTTGGGTGGGTGTGGCTGGGTAGGTGTGGCCGGGTGGCTAGTTAGGTGTGGCCGGGTGGCTGGTTGGGTGTGGCTGGGTGACTGGATGGGTGGGTGGTTGGGTATGTATATACTCATTGGGTGGTTGGGTTTGGGTGGCTAGGTGGGTGGTTGGGCGGTTGGGTGAGTGAGGATGGGGGTGGGTGGCTAGGCATGGCTGGGTGGGGGTAAGGTGATTAGGTGTGGCTGGGTGGGTGTGGCTGGGTGTGTGGGGGTGGGTGGTTGTGTGGCTGGGTGACTGGTTGGGCATGGATGGGTGGTTGGGCGTGGCTAGGTAGCTGGTTGTGTGGGTGGGTGGGTGTTTGGGGATGGGTGGGCATGGCTGGGTGGCTGAATGAGTGGTTAGGTGTGGCTAGGTGGGTAGTTGGTGTGGGTGTGCGTGACTGGGTGGCTTGGTGGGTAGTTAGGTGTGGGTAAGTGGTTCAGTGGTTGGGTGGGTGTGGCTGGGTAGGTAGTTGGGTAGCTGAATGTAAGTGGTTGGGTGTGGGTGGGTGGCTGGTCATGGCTGGGTGGGGGTAGGTGGTCGGGTGTGACTAGGTGGTTGGCTGGGTGGCTGGTAGGGTGTGGCTGAGTGGTTGGTTGGGTATGGCTGGGTGGCTGGTTCGGTAGTTTTGTGTAAATGGGTAGCTGGGTGGGTAATTAGGTGTGGCTAGCTGGCTGGTCGGCTGTGTGTGTGTGTGTGTGGCTGGGTGTGACTGGCTGGATGATTGGATGTTGCTGGGTGGGTGTTGCTGGGTGGCTGGGTGGTTGATTGGGTGTGGCTGGATGGTTGGTAGGGTGGGCTGGGTGGTTGGGTGTGGCCGGGTGGGGGTAGGTGGTGGTGTGACTGGGTGGTTGGTTGGGTGTGGCTGGGTGGGAGTAGTTGGTTGACTGGGTGGGTGTGACTGGGTAGCTAATTGGTTGGGTGTGGCTGGGTGGGTGTAGTTGGGTGTGGCTGGGTGGGTGTAGTTGGGTGTGGCTGGGTGTAGTTAGGTGTGACTAGGTGAATACACCCACACCCAACCAGTCACCCAGCTACCCCCCACACAACCAGCAACATCCAACTACCAAGGTTGGGGTTGGGTAGTTGGTTGTGGCTGGTTGGGTGTGGCTGAGTGGTTGGGGGTAGGTGGCTGAGTGTGGCTGGGTGGGTGTAGCTTGGTGACTGGTTGGGTGGTTTGGTATGGGTGTATGAGTGTGGCTGGGTGGCGGTGGGTGGGGGTAGGTGGTTAAGTGTTGCTGGGTGTGGCTGGGTGGTTGGTTAGCTGTATGGGTGTGTCTGGGTTAGGTGGGTGGGTGTGGCTGGCAGGGTGTTTGGGTGTGGTTGGGGGCGGCTGGTTGGTGGTTAGTTGGGGTTGGGTAGTTGGGTGTGGCTGGATGGTTGGTTGGGTGTGGTTGGGGGGTGGTTTGGTGTGGGTGTATATATGTGGCTGGGTGGTTAGGTGTGTGGGGGGTTGGTGGGGATAGGTGATTGGGTGTGGTTGGCTGGGTATTTGGGTGTGGTTAGGGGTGGCTGGCTGGTTGGTGGTGAGTGGTTGGGGTTGGGTAGTTGGATGTGGCTGGGTGGTTGGGTGGGTAGGGGTGGCTGGTTGGCTGGGGGTGGGTGAGGGTGGGGGTAGGTGGGTGAGGGTGGGGGTAGGTGGTTGAGTAGGTGGAGGTTGCTGGGTGGGTGGCTGAGTAGGTAGTTGGGGGTGGCTGGGGGTTGGGGGTGGCTGGGTGGGTGTGTCACAAGGGTTGAGGACGAGTGAGGCTGGGTGTTTGGGTAGGTGTCAATGGGTGGGTGTGGGCGGCTGGGTGTGGCTAGGTGGTTGGGAGGGTGGATGGTTGGGTGTGGCTGGGTGAGGGTAGGCGGTTGGGTGTGGCTTGGTGGATAGGTGTAAGTGAATGAGTGGATGGGTGTAGGTGGCTGGCTGGGTGTTTGGGTGTGAGTGGGTGGCTGGCTGGGTGGTTGGGTGTGGTTGGGGGCGGCTAGCTGCTTGGGGTTGGGTGGTTGGACGTGGCTGTGTGGTTGGGGTTGGGTAGTTGGGTGTGGCTGGGTGGTTGGGTGGCTGTGCGGGTGGTTGGGTGTGGCTGGGTAGCTGGATGTGACTGGGTGGGTACTTGGGTGCGGCTGCGTTGCTAGGTGGCTGGTTGAATGTGACTGGGTGGTTGGTTGGGTGTGGCTAGGTGGATGTGACTGGGTGGTTGGTTGGATGTGGCTGGTTGGGTGTGGCTGGGTGGTTGGTTGGATGTGGCTGGTTGGTTGGGTGTGGCTGGGTGGATGTGGCTGGTTGGGTGTGACTGGGTGGTTGGTTGGATGTGGCTGGGTGGCTGGTTGGGTGTGGCTGGGTGGGTGTGGCTGGTTGGGTGTGGCTGGTTGGGTGTGGTTGGTTAGGTGTGGTTGGTTGGGTGTGGCTGGGTGATTAGTTGGGTGTGGCTGGGTGGTTGGTTGGATGTGGCTGGTTGGGTGTGACTGGGTGGTTGGTTGGATGTGGCTGGTTGGGTGTGACTGGGTGGTTGGTTGGATGCGGCTGGTTGGGTGTGACTGGGTGGTTGGTTGATGCGGCTGGGTGTGGTTGGGTGGGGGTGATTGGGTGTAGCTGGGTGGAAGGTTGTGTTTGGCTGGGTGTCTGGTTGGGTGTGGCTGAGTGGGTAGTTAGGTGTGGTTGGGTGGGTGGCTGGTTGGGTGTGGGTGGCTGGTTGGGTGTGGGTGGGTGGATGGTTGAGTGTGGCTGGGTGGGTGTGGCTGGGTGGGGGTGATAGGGTGTGACTGGGTGGTTGGTTATGGCTGGGTGGAAGGTTGTTTTGCTAGTTGGGTGTGGCTGGATGGGTGGGTATGGCTGAGTAGGTAGTTAGGTGGCTGGTTGGCTGGGTGGGTGTGGGTGTATAGGTATGGCTGGGTGATTAGGTGGCTGGGTGTGGCTGGGTGGTTGGGGGTGGATAGTGGTAGGTGGGTGGGTGGGTGGTTAGGTGTGGCTGGGTGGCTGGTTGGGTGTGGTTGGGTGGGCGTGTCACAAGGGATGAGAGGCTGATTGGCTGGATGGGTGTGGGTGGGTGTGGCTGGGTGAGGCTGCCATTGGGTGGTTGGGGGTGGCTGGGTGGGAAGTTGGGTGTGGTTGGATGGCTGGGTGGGTGTGGCTGGGGGTGTATGGATGTGGCTGGGGGTGTATGGATGTGGCTGGGTGGTTAGGTGGGTGGGGTTGGGCGGGGGTAGGTGATGGGGTAGCTGGAGGTTGTGGTTGTGCCTGGGGGTAGGTGGTGGGGTGGCTGGGGGTGACTAGGTAGTTAGGTGTGGTTGGGTGGCTGGTTGGGTGTGGCTAGGTGTTTTGGGGTAGGTGGGGTGGCTGGGTGATTAGGTGGGTGGGGGTAGGTGGTTGGGTGGGTAGTTGGGTGTGGCTGTCTGGTTGGGGGTGGGTGGGGGTAGGTTGTTGGGTGGTTGGGTGTGGCTGGGTGGGTGTAGTTGAGTGGGTAGTTAGGTGTGGCTAGGTGGCTGGCTGGGTGGTTGAGTGTGGTTGGGTGTGGCTGAGTAGGTAGTGGGTAGGTGTGGGTGGGCGTGGGTAGGTGGGGGGTTGTGGTTGTGGCTGGGGGTAGGTGGTGGGGGTGACTGGGAGTGGCTGGGTGACTGGTTGGGTGTAGCTGAGTGGGTAATTAGGTGTGGTTGGGTGGGTGTGGCTAGGTGAGTGGGTGGGCGTGGCTGGGCAGATGGTTGGGGCTGTGGCTGGGTGGCTGGAGGGTGTTGTTGGTTGGGGTTTGTTGTTGGCTGGGGGGTGTTGTTGGTTGGGGGGTGTTGTTGGTTGGGGGGTGTTGTTGGCTGGGGGGTGTTGTTGGTTGGGGGGTGTTGTTGGTTGGGGGGTGTTGTTGGTTGGGGGTTAATGGTTAATGGTTAAAAGCAAGATAATGTGCTAGACATCTAAGGTCATGTAGCACTATAGTTAATGTTAGTGAAGGGTGGTTGAGTTAGTGATTAGTTGTCTAAGCTGGGCAAAGGAATTAGTGAGTGAAAGGGTTAAGGTCGGGTGTTATATTAGATAAAGGGTATGCATAAGAAAGGTTTCTTGAGGCATACAATAGATGGGTTATAAGAGGAAAGGATATGATGGTCAGGTCTGTGGGAGCGGAAACCGCGAATATTCCAATGAAGGATAGTTATACTTTCGTTGATTTAGTGATATAGATTGTAGTACGTGTTGGAGAATTTGAAGGGGAAGCAGCTAGAGGGTGGGATAAGGACTGAGAGGTTTGAGATGGGAGAGGTGTGGGAGTTGGTGTTCTATCAGGAGGGGTAGTAGGAGATGGAGGGTCTGAGGAAGGGGATACTTGTGACATAAGGGATTCACGTGTGTATCCAGGAGGGAGTGGAAAGGATAGAGGGGATGGTGGGAGAGTTAATGTGGGCAGGGTTGGGGTCAGGGGGGATGGGCTGTGTTGGGAGGGGGTAGGAGGGTAGGGTGTAGGGGGGATATCGTTAGGAGGAGGATGGATATCAGCAATTACTTGGAGTGTGGAAGGAGCAGGAGTTGTAGGTTGAGTGTCAGTTTTCATTAAGTAATCTACAATATTTTCAATAGTTTCTTCTGTGGAGTTGGTTGGGGAGTTTTGGGGATAAAGGATTTCTTGTGAGGGGGGGAAGAGAGGACTGGTGTCTCAAGAGTACGGGCAAAGGATGGTGGGGGTGATTGTGTGGTAGGGGAAGAGGGGGTGGAACGTTTGTTCTGTCTGTTACGGGGAGTGCGAGGAGGGAGAGGGGAAGGTGTTGGGGTTGTAGTGGTGATTGGAATATCTGTAGTAGAGATTGGAGTTTCTGGATTTAGGATGGCAAAAGAGTTTGACTGGGGAAGGTAGGTGGGGTTAGTGGGGGGGTTAGATGTAGGAGGGGTGGGTTTAGGAGAAGTGTTAGGATGAGCAGTATTACTGGAGTAAGGAGTAAGAGAGAATCCACGTCGACGTGCTTCCTGTCTGGCTTCACGCAGTGTGAGTCCGAGTTTGAATCTGAGAGTTGCTACCTCAGATTCAAATTTGTAGGTGGGACAGCCCCTATAAAATACATTATGGGGGCCGCCACAGTTGGCACATGTGCGTGATTGTGCAGAGCAGTTAGATCGGGTATGGCCAGGTTGGGCACATAATGGGCATCTGGCTGTGGAACGGCAGTGTTTGGCTGGGTGTCCTAGACGCCAACAATTTTGGCACTGACGTGGAGGAGGTTGGTATGGACGAACAGGGAGGGATTCTCCTCCTATGTAGACGTTAAAGGGAAGGTCATGTCTACGGAAGGTAATTTTGGCTATGTTAGTGGGTTTCTTTCGATGACCTCTGGGGGGGATGGAATAGCATTGTACTGATGTTGCATCGTAGTCTGTGAGACAGGCAAGTAGATCTCCACAATCTGACCATTCTTTGTCATAGATTGGGCAATTTGTTGGTGAGATTGAGATTGTTCCGGTGCAAGTATTGAGGGTTGGATGGGGTTCTGCTAGGATGGGGTTACCATATAGGTCAGTTAGTTTTGTTAATGCTATGGCTTGGTTTTCGGATGTTACTGTTACAAGACGGGAGCGGTCGGGTCGGCTACGGAAAGACTTTACCTACTTGTTTTTGGAGGCATTGTTGGAAGAGAAGGGTGTTGTTAGAGTAGGGAGCTGTGGGAGGGATCACGAAAAATCGGTCCCATTTGGCTGCACTGAAGAGAGTATTCAAGATTTTTTAGAGATAGGGGTGGTAGAAGGGCGAGGGCGTGACGAAGATGGAGTAGTGTTGATGGAGGTAGTGTTATGGAGAGGTGGGCTATAAGGCTGTAAGGTATTAATAAGGGAGGATGGGGTGGTTGATGTTGGAGGTTGTGGGGGTAGAGGTGTTGAAGTTGGGCATGCTGGGAGAGTGGAAATGTCCCTTGAGGGTTGATTGTTGGCTACTGTAATAGTAGGCATTGGTGAAGGGGTAGTTATTGCAGTATTTGGAGCCGTGGTCAAAGGAGAGCCTGGGGTCGGGGAATCGGGTGGGTTTACTTCGTTGGGGCTATTTGATAAAGGGGCAAGCCTCATTGCCCCTAACAGTGGGGATATATTTTCATTACTGGCCATGGGAAGCCTGGATTATGTTGGGGATAAAAGCAGTCCACCCCTCAGGGTCCCCTTGAGGGGTAAGGGCTAGATAACTAAATCAGGGGAATACCGTGCCCATGGCTCCCTCAGGCCGTTCAGGACTAGCACAAAGTCAGCCTTTCATCCTTCAGCACGGCTCTCACACCTTAGGAGGTGGATAGCAGAAGGGTTTGGTGAAGGGACAGAAACAAAAGTGGGAAGGGAAAAAAAAAGACCATGCATAATTAGTTGAGTCGAGGGCTGAGTCCCAAGGTTGGGGAGTTCCCCATCATTGGGTCCCAGTCTCCGCCTCCTAAGCCCCCCCACGACAACAACGGGCAAGAGATTGGGGGGGTGTTGGTTGGGGGTTGTTGTTGGCTGGAGGGTGTTGTTGGTTGGGGTTTGTTGTTGGCTGGTGGCTGGTTGGGTGTGGCTGGGTGGGTGTGGGGGAGTGATTGAGTGGATGGGTGTGGATGGGTGGGTGTGGCTGGGTGGGTGTGGGGGAGTGATTGGGTGGATAAGTGTGGCTGGGTGGGTGTGGATGGGTGGTTGGGTGTGGCGGGGTGGGGGTGATTGGGTGTGGCTGGATGGAAGGTTGTGTTTGGCTGGGTGGGTGTGGCTGGATGAATGGTTGAGTGTGGCTGGGTGTGGCTGGTTGAGTGTGGCTGGGTGTAGCTGGTTGGTTGGGGGTGGGGGTGTGGTTGGATGTGACTGGGTGGGTGTGGCTAGGTGGCTGGTTGGGTATGGCTGGGTGGTTAGGTGGTTGTGTGTGGTTGGGTAGGCGGGGGTGGATGGTAGGTTGAGAGTGACTAGGTGGCTGTTCAGGGTTTGGCTGGTTGGCTGGTCGGGGTGTATCTGGGTGGCTGGGTGGGTAGTTGGATGTAGCAGGGTAGTAAGTAGGGATTGGGGTGGCTGGAGGGGGTGTTGCTGGCTGGAGGGGATGGCTGACTAGGTGGTGGAGGAGGGTGTTGCTGGCTAGGGGGGTGGCTGAGGGGTGTTGCTGGAGGGGGCGTTTCTGGTTGGAGGGTGTTGTTGGCTGGGGGGTGTTACTGGCTGGAGGGGGTGGCTGAGGGGTGTTGCTGGAGGGGGCGTTTCTGGTTGGAGGGCGTTGCTGGTTGGAGGGGATGGCTGACTGGGGGGTGGAGGAGGGTGTTACTGGCTGGAGGGTGTTGCTGGCTGGGGGGTGTTGCTGGCTGGAGGGGGTGGCTGAGGGGGCGTTGCTGGAGGGTGTTGCTGGCTGGAGGGGGTGGCTGAGGGGTGTTGCTGGAGGGGGCGTTGCTGGTTTGGGGGTGTTACTGGCTGGGGGGGGTGGTTGAGGGGTGTTGCTGGCTGGGGGGTGTTACTGGCTGGAGGGGGTGGCTGAGGGGTGTTGCTGGCTGGAGGGTGTTACTGGCTGGGGGGGTGTTGCTGGCTGGAGGGTGTTACTGGCTGGGGGGGTGTTGCTGGAGGGGGCGTTGCTGGTTGGGGGGTGTTACTGGCTGGGGGGGGTGGTTGAGGGGTGTTGCTGGAGGGGGCGTTGCTGGCTGGAGGGTGTTGCTGGCTGGGGGGTGTTACTGGCTGGAGGGGGTGGTTGAGGGGTGTTGCTGGAGGGGGTGTTGCTGGCTGGGGGGTGTTGCTGGCTGGGGGGTGTTGCTGGCTGGAGGGTGTTACTGGCTGGGGGGTGTTATTGGCTGGAGGGTGGGGCTGGCTGAGAGGGTGTTGACTGGCTGGAGGGGGTGTTACTGGCTGAGGGTGTTTATGGTGGGGGTGGTTGGGTGAGGGGTGTTGCTGGCTGGAGGGTGTTACTGGCTGGGGGGTGGTTGAGGGGTGTTGCTGGTGTGAGGGTGTTACTGGCTGTGGGGGTTGGTCAGGTGTGGTGTTGCTGGAGGGGGCGTGATGGCTGGAGGTGTTGAGGCTGGGGGGTGTGCTGGCTGGGGGGTGTTGCTGGCTGAGGGGTGTTGCTGTGGAGGGTGTTGCTGGCTGGGGGGTGTGCTGGTTGGAGGGTGTTACTGGCTGGAGGGGGGGGTGAGGGGTGTTGCTGAAGGGGGTGTTGCTGGGTGGAGGGGGTGGCTGAGAGGGTTGCTGGATGCGTGTGTTGCTGGACGGGGTTGGCTGGGGGGGGGGGTGAGAGTAGCTAGAGGGGTGGTGTTGGGTGTGACTGAGGATGTGGCTGGGGAGTGGCTGGGTTTTGTCTAGGTGCTGGGTTGGTAGTTGGATGTGCCTGGGTGGTGAGTAGGGGTGGGGGTGGTTGGGTGTGGCTTGGTGGTTGGATGGCTGTGTGGGTGGTGGGTAGGGGGATGGGTAGGGGGAGGTTGGGAGTAGTTGGATGTGGCTGGGTGGGTGTTGCTGGGGGAGTGGGTGGGGGGAGTGGGTGGGGGGGTGACGGCTAGGGGGTGGATAGGTGGGCGTGGGTGGATGTGTGTCACTAGGGCTGAGGACGAGTGTCGCGCCTCAAAATTTCTCTATCTACTTTTCTTTCTCCCTCGGTCTTTCCGGCTTCTGGGGTTCTTGATTTTCTTTTCATCCCTTGTCTACTTCTGATTATTTTTTAATTTGTGATTTTATTTCGGAATCACATAACAATCATTACCAAAGAGTAGGAAGTTTTTTTTTATATAAACTATGTATTGTTACTTGATTGGCTCATAATCAGGGCCGGATTATCCTTTAGGTTAGTTTAGGCTGTAGCCTAGGGCTTGGTTATAAAAAAAATATATATATATTTTCACGACGGTTGTCTTCAAATAAAGTAAAAGTGATATTTAAAGAATACTTTTTATTAACAAACAAAAGATAGCTATGCTAGTTTATTTAAAGAATTTGCAATAAGTTTACTTCAAGCTATCTAAATGTTTTTTCACTCGTGATATATTTTAGCGACATTCTGAGGGGGTCCCAAAAGGTCATAATCCGGCCCTGCTCATAATGGAGTTGCCAGATGGGGAATGAATATGCACAATGTGTTTCAGGTGTACGTGTTTGGTGCCCTCATGTTCTTCGGTAGGATGCGTGTACGTTTGTTTCATTTGTACATTATATACTCACACCTCTCATTTTCTCCCTGTTCACTCTGTATGTTTATGTATGCTAAATGTAAGAGAACAGCATTACAGCACTTTCCTGCGTGAGAATCCAGGTATATTAGATTCAT